ATTGCATATAGAAGGCATGTCACAATGTTTAAGAGCAAGTAGTTCACATTTTTTTATGTTCAGGCAAAGACCAGATGCAGCAGAAAATACATTTATCAGGTCAATAGCTAAAGGTATCTGAGAGCTATTTTTTAAAAACAGTGTTGTATCATCAGCTAACTGGCTGATGATAATTTCTTTGCCTGCTACTGAGATCCCTTTTAATGGGCTAAGCTTTATAGAATCTGTAAGTAATTGGGTGCAAAGTAAAAACAGATAAGGTGATAKGGGGCATCCTTGTCTGACCCCACGTTTAAGGGAGAATCGAGGAGAAGTACCAGATTTCAGACTTCTGAAGCAACATTCTTGTTTTAGGTGTCTGGAATGTTCATTTTTACTAGTAATAAATGATGTGAGAATATGTGAGATATCAAATAMATTCAGTCAAGCTAATAAATGTTAAAATGGCTTGCCATWWWCGTACGYTTTTAGCGTAGCGTAAACACCTGCTCGGGTTCCGGTCATTGACATATATTATGGGCTGCATTGAAGCGGTCACGTGATTTGGGTGCGGAAGAGTTCCTGTCAATCTTTGAGCCGTGAATTTATTGAGATTTTACTCAGAGTTCGTTTCTAGGCTTCAAGAATCACTATCTCCGTGTTTCAGAAAACTCTCCAGTCATTTATTTTCTTTAAAATTTAACCATGAGCTCAGACGCAGCTTTRTTGTTGGAAGCCGCAAATTTCGCAGCGTACAAACATCGGAACCAGAGACGTAAAGATCCAGACGGAACCCCATACATTAATCATCCTATCGGTGGGTAGAAGTCTCAGCATGGGAGCTTCTGGTGACTGAACATTAAATATATTAGTGAAATAATTAGAACAGGTTGCTGTAGAATAAATATTAAACTTTATTTTCATGTTTTCTGCTCATTACAACTGCCAGCAGGAAATCAGTGTTTGTATTTGCTGATGAGTGCTGAAAATGTATTGATTAATTAGTGATATTTAAGTGTAACTGAAGGATTGCTCACAATATTCAAAACACTTGAGAGAACTTCCAGGAGGGGAGTTCCCAGCAAATTCTCCTCAATGTCAGAGAGATAACAAAGAGCTACATCTCAGACTACAGYATCAGTCAGCAGGTTAAAGATGATTGTTTATTATGACAGAATAAACTTTTTAGGCTGGTTTAAAAGGGTTGCAGGAAAAAAAGGCTCTTCAGTTTAAAAGCACTTTCAAAACAGTTCTGTGAAATGGCAACAAAGACAGTATTCTGCTCTGATTGTTCACAAATCCTGGACGTTTGCATGTTGTATGTATCATGTTCCAGGAATATGTTTTGGTTCAGATACTTTACAAACTCAAGTTTCGCTGCCATATTTTTTAAGGTAGAGCCTTTCCTCTGCRACCCTTGCAAATGTGCCAGGTACTTGTCACATATGTATCATACAAAGTGTGTACCAGGTCTGTACTAGTCYACATATCTGGTACTTACCAGGTTCATACCCAGTAAGAACCATATGGGGTTATCCTGCAGCCTATCCAAACTTAGCTAGTATGTTTGAATTCCTGGTATGTACTTTAAAAGGTAACTATTAGGATTGGGCAACATTGGCAAAAAAATAATAAATAAACAATTATTCAGACATCTTGTGGCATTTAGCCCTGACAGTTGCACTTTGATGTTTTTGACTCCTAATCAGTTACCCTATACTTACACAGTGAATCACCAGTCAAACTAACTTCTTCATTTTAAACAGGTTAAAAGAAAAAAAAAGGCCTTTAGTAATGAAACAGGCCACAGGCTCACATGCACGCTTTGTAGTGAAAGTGGCACATWAAAATACAACATCACATGACACTAACTGGCTGATAATAATTGTTGACAGTTTTTCTGACGATTAGTCACAAACGATACGATTTTTGCACAACTGTACCAAGTACACACCTRGTAAGTATTAGATATGAACTCTGTATGTACCTGGTACGTACAGGATATGTATCCGTTAAGTACCAGCTGTGTATC